AAAACCAAGAAAGTAAAAAAGGTTTTGGAAGAAAAACAAAGAAAAAACGCTTCATACTGAGTAGAAGGGCTGCAATAGTGATGCATCTTCCCGGAACTAGCAAAGACAATTAGAGCAACACGGGCATCACACATCACACTAATCTCCTTAGCTTTATTCATGATCCCATTCCTTCTCTTTGAATAAGTAACCTGCCTGCTGCTTGAGTTCTCAATCCTCTTGATCTCAATCTTGCCTCTCCCCATCTCTTCTCTAGATCTAATTTGCTCTTGATTTGCTTTTTTTCTTTCCTTTTAAAATTTTTTTTTTTTGCCTGTAAAATGATGAAGAATGGAGCAGAAAATGAGGCTTAAAGGCAGCGATAAGAGAGGAAAAGAAACAGGGTATTCCATTTCAGGTTTAGAGGACAGAAAACTTTCGAAGTATCATGGTAGGGACATGTTTGTTTCAGGGTTCTTGACAGGCCAAGCCACCTGCCTTTCTTTTAGAGAAGAAATGGCTTCGTTAGTTTTGGTTTAATTCACCTGGTTAACCATTGGTCTCATCTATCCTTCTATGTGTAGTAGTATTGCTTCAATAGAGCTCTTACGGTTAGGGTTTGGGGCTTTAAATAAGAAATTTGGACAAGACTTTCAAGGCCGGCGTGGGAAACTGATGGGATTGAGGACTGAGGGAACGACAAAAGATTTTGTAGGGTGGCCTTGGCTTTGATGTGTTTGATACGTAAAATGAAAAGAAAATAAAAAAAAGAATTTGGTGTGCATGTTGTAAAAGACACGTGTCATGATATGAAGCCTTTAAAATAATAATAATCGTCTTGTCTAGGTTTGCAGTGAAGGAAGTAAACATGCTATTCTATAATAAATTAGTCACGTCCTAACCATCTAATCAAAATAAAAGAGGAAAGTTTTCTTTTTAATTAGGGTTAATATGCAGTTTAAACCTTGAATTATATTATTTTTCACAGTTCAATACATGTAAAAATTTTACAGTAATAGTTAAAATGATATTGTGATAGATACTGACCAATGAAAATACATCACATATCATGATTTTATTTATTGTTATTTATCACATCAGTGTATTATTAACAGTGTTAGCGTTTGAGGCAAATAATGTCATTAAATGAAAGTTGAATATATATTAAATCATGAATTTTTTTTATAAATACCAAATCATAAAAAGTAATATAGTTTAGTGATCAAATTACATATTAACCCTTTTGATTATGAATATGTAAATAAATAATGGAGAAAGTTAAAAAAAAAGAAAAATATAAGATATATAAATATGATTTTCCTAGAATCAAAAACTTTTGAAGGTAGGAATTGGGTTGGGGCAGTGGGACGCTCTGTTCTATGCTAGGCTAGCTATTGTGCTTCAGATTCACAAATCCTTGAAAGTATGTCCGATTGCATTAATGATACTCACAAATTTGGATCGGTGTCTGTAGCTTCTTTAGAAGTGACCATGAAATTGATCTTTGTTTTTTTGCTATTGTTATATTGGTTTGTTTTGATCTCAGTGATGTAATATCTCGCAGCTAAGGAAGTTCGTTCTATTTTGCTCAATTAGGCGTTTTTTTGCTCTTACCTATTACATTATATAATAATTGTCCCCAATTAGATTTTTGGGTTGACACTTTAACAATGTAATATCATATGATTGGGAGGTAATTTTGGGATGAGTGTTGTTTATAAGTTTGAGTATCTATCCTCTTTTCTTTGTTTTGTTAGTCTCGGCAGAGTTTCTTCTTTTCTTTTCATTTTTGATTTCTTCATTTTTTTTATTTTTTCCTTTTGTGGATGAAGAAATTTAATACAGTTTAACCCATGATTCGAGTTATTTTGACGTTGTTTTTTCTGCATATGGGTATTGTCTGATTTATTATTACTATTTTCTATACATTGTATAGATTATTATTTTTGTAGTTTCTAGATTTTGTTTTTGTGTTTGAATTTTTTTTTATTAAGCTGTGTTTTTTTTTTTTTTATTTTGGGTTAGTAATTGAAAGTAGTTTTATGTTAGAAGGTGTTTAAAATTGGCTCTCAAAAGCGTTTTTAGTGTTGGAAATTGACGTCAAAGACCAACAATCCCCTTCTACCTCTTCTTCCACTTCCAAAACTTTAGGCCCATCTATCTACTTTCATCTTTCAATTTCAAACACTCTAGTATTTGCCTTTAGGATTGGTTTTAATTAATTTTATTTCTTTGAATCATTTGGACTTTGGGTTTCACTTTTATTTGCTCAAAGTTTACTCCTTTAACGATTCTATGGAAGCTTGTGGTGTTGGTATGGAAGCTTTTAATATCGACTTTAGGACTTTAAAAAAATGGTGATGAACCCACCGAAGCTTATATGCTGAAGACTGCAATTACAAGTGTTTGATTATTGAATAGCATTTGCCTTTGCTACAGGTAAGAGTAAGAGCAATGGAAAGGGTTCAACTGATGCAACGATTGTCAAATAGGAGAAACAGAGTGAATCAAATTCGGAAATGCTTTCGGAGAACTGCAAGTTACCCCTTGTGTGGATTGACTTGGAAATGTTTGGCAAGTATAAGCAAAATGCTATTTGTAACTAATTTAGTCACTTTAATAGTGATTATGTGATTTAAAAATGGTATGCATTTCATTTCATGTTTGTTTATATCTATTGCTATACAGTTTTAAATATTGAGAATATTCTGAAATTTGAATTTTCTGAATTTTCAAACCTTTTGGTTTGAGAAAGCTATATCAATTTCGAGAAATTTTCAGTTGATTCTAAGTTAAAAAAGTTTTACTAAAGTTCAATGTCCAAATAACAGCTAAGAAGTGCCCAAACAAATTGCCTTAAAATTGCAACACGTAGACTCTTAATATAACCAAAAAAACTTGAAAAGACAAAATTTGTCTTGCCATTATCTGTTTATGGATAGCAATATAGTTTTTCAATTTAGTTTATCTCATTAAACATGCCTTGTGATGGTTATAACATAATCTTATTTAAATTATGCTGTATATTTCTAATTTATCTGCAGAAATGAGATATTTTATTCTTTTGAGTTGTTTAAAGTGTTATATATATTTGTAGTAGAGCATCTCTATATTTTTTAATACTTTGAGTTATGTTCAGTGAAAGTTGCTAATATTTTAGATCTGATTTAGAATATTTTCTTTTTCAAGGTCCTGATCTGGTAATCTATAAATCAAAGTCTGTTTAGATACAATATTTTCTTTACATAATAAAAAATTTAAAAAAATAACTTCATATCTTATTTTCATCATTGAGATCTACAGAAAGATTTGCAAGTTTTTCTTGGCTGTAGATCTACAGATAGGTCGAAAAGAAATTAAAATTTAACGTTGGAAACATTTAGTAGCTTGAAGGTGTTGTAGTAACTTGAAATTAGTGGTATCAGAGTAAATGATATCTTAACTACTATAAGAACCTGTTTTTTCGCTTTTCAAGATATCTCTACAGTGATACTTTTTTGTTCACCTGCCTTTTTGCATCTTAAGACCAAGCAACAATTGTTAAAACAAGAAATAAAGAGCATATTATCAAGCGTAAAATACTTTTAATTCCCCAATAATCAGTAAATTAACAATGTCCAAGGCACTTTCAATAAACCATCTAGATATGCTTTTCAAGAGTCTTATTTACCTACAATAACTAACATGATCACGCATTTGCTTTTATACGTTGTGCAATTAAAAATCCATAACTATTAATAAAAGCTATCCTCCTTCTATATTGAAGGGACAGCTTGACAATGTCAAAGAAAAAAATTGAAGCATAATTGTTAGAAAAAGCTTTTTCCAGAATCTTCTCCGCTGAAAGTTAAAGCTTTTCCCTCGAATTTCATCCCTTATGGCCTCCAATGGTGCTTCTACTATAAATCTTTTTTTTTTCTTTTCTTCTTCCATTTTATAGTAATTGGTATTGATTCTTTCTCTCTTTTTTTCTTTTTTTAATTTTTGTATTTAATTTTGAAAGGAGCAAGGAGTTAGGGATGCAATAGAGAATAGTTTAGAAAAGATCAAACGGCAGTTGGCCTCTAGCTCTGTAGTAACTTGCTCCAAGGTCAACTTTTCAAGCGATCTGAGACTATACGAACCCCTAAATTTATTGTGCTAATTCTAGCTAAATTTTCAATCTTGTTATCAGTTATAGCTTTCATCAATTTGTAATTTTTTTTGTAAATTTTCAAGAAATTTGGTAATTTAATATATATGTTGTACATTGGTTTAGCAGTTAAAGAAATGGAATGAACAGTGGGTGATATTAGATCCCACAACAGGGAAAATGGAGTACTTCCCCCTTCTCTTTCTTTTATAGGTTTTTCAGAGTTGTGATTATTTTCTTTATTTTCTTCGCCCCGGTGAGTTTCTTATTTTATTTTCATGTTTGATTTCTAGCTTTTTTTTTGTTACTCTTTTTTCTAGATGATTAGTTTTTTGTTGGTATCTTTCTGTTGGGTATGTTATCTTTTGAAAGGATTTTGTGTTTGGAAACACTTGCATGTTTATTCTAATCTTTTCTTTTGCATGCTATGGTTGGCTATACTTTGTACTGGCTATACTGAATCTATTGGTGTAATCTGGGTTGAATTTGACCACTCAGGAAATGATGGAGGTTACCATACATTTGAAACTGCATTAACGAGTGCTCAAATTGTGAAGGTTCAATGTATTGGAGTCCCTGATATTCCAACAGAAGAATTGAAAGAAATCACAAATAACTTTAGTAAAAATTCTTTGATTGGAGAAAATTCATATGGTAGAGTTTATTATGGAGTTTTTAAAAGTGGGCATGCTACAGCAATCAAAAAGTTAGATGCCAGCAAGCAACCTGATGATGAGTTTTTAGCCCAGGTTTAGTTAACAGCTATAATTCATTGCATTTACTGCATCTCAAAATTAATTTTAGAGTTTAAGATTTGTATCCATTGATGCATGGATTTTCAAGTTTCCATGGTGTCAAGGTTGAAACACGAAAACTTTGTTCAATTGCTTGGTTACTGTGTTGATGGGAGCTCCCGGATACTTGCTTACGAGTTTGTGTCTAATGGATCACCGTAGGATATTTTTCGTGGTATGTGTGATGATGCTTAAGTCATTACTCAAGTTATGCAAAGTTGAAAACTATTGAGGAGTGTAACGACGCTTGAAGCAAGGATCACTTAGTGATGCTATTATAAAATTGAATTATAAAGTTTCTTTCTCTATTAGAAACAAAATCTTTGGTTTGTAATATTTA